AAATCTGCGTGTAAAGCTCTCGAAGCGATAGGCGAAAAAGCAGCAACGAATGAAGTGATCTCTTCTCTCATTAATGCACTTTGGGATGAATATTCAGATGTCAGACAGTCTGCGTGTGCAGCTCTGAAAGCGATGGGTGAAAAAGCAGCAACGAATGAGGTGATCTCTGGTCTCATCAATGCACGTCGAGATGACGATCTCGGTCTCCAATTAAGTACATTTATAGCTCTCGAAGCGATGGGGGAAAAGGCAGCAACGAATGAGGTGATCTCTGTTATGATCAATGACCTTCGGAATAAAGATTTAACTGTCAGACAATGTGCATGTTTAATGCTAAAAGCGATGGGTAAGAAAGCAGCAACGAACGAGGTGATCTCTGCTCTCATCAATGCACTTCGAGATAAAATATCGTCTATCAGAAGACTTGCGTGTAAAGTTCTGAGAACGATGGGTGAAAAAGCAGCAACCAATGAGGTGATCTTTGCTCTCATCAATGCACTTCAGGATGCAGATTTAGATGTCAGAAGAAATGCGTTTACAGCTCTAAAAGCGATGGGTGAAATCGCACCAACGAATGGGGTGATCTCTTCTCTCATCGATGCACTTTTGGATGAAGATTCAGATGTCAGAGGATGGGCGTGTGCAGCTCTAAAAGTGATTGGTGAAAAAGCAGCAACCAGTGAGGTGATCTTTGCTCTCATCAATGCGCTTTGGGATGAAGATTCAGATGTCAGAGGATCGGCGTGTGCAGCTCTGGGAGCGATGGGTGAAAAAGCAGCAACGAATGAAGTGATCTCTTCTCTCATCAATGCCCTTCGGGACAATGATTTAGATGTCAGACAATATGCATGTGGAGCTCTTGAGCGAGCCATGTGTTGTTATCCGGCCATGAAAGAATTAGTCCCGCAGACGTTACAGAAACTGTATAAAAGTATCAGAAAATTGGATAAAATCAAACTGAATATTTTGCCGTCGAATCAATTGATCAAACTATATTTAGAGACGAAAAATGACGCCTGGCTTCCAATGGTTACATATACTGCATTATTACAAGGAGTTGCTGTGACTATCGTTGAAGACAAGATTATGATCTATCATATGAATGAGGTGTCGGAATTAAATGTGTCGTCACAAGAACTGAAGGAAAATTTGGTGAATTCTTTTAAAAACCAGCAGAACGAGTTTCGGCAGAACTTTATAGCGCTACGTAAAACTGGAATTAAAATGTTGGAGTAATTATTCTTCATACAATGTACGTGGCACAACTACGTCATAACTAAACTAAAATAAACTGATATACTAGTGGAACTTAGTTTCACTAATTTTATTTGACTAACTTGCTTCGATTGTATTGACCATGGATGCGTGTTCGTTTAAAGATCTAATACATGAATTGAAAGCATAATGCTACATATTTTGATAGGATGTAAGATGGGTGTGCCTTGATTTCACAGATACTACAACGAGTTTTGACTACGCTGGGAGTCTCGTTGAATAGTATTCGACTTTTGCATAAGATTTGAATAAAGTATAGAGAAATGATCAAACTTTTCTTGAAACTCTTTCAAAAATCAGCGAAAATAGATATTGCGTAAATACAATAGAATATGTGTACAAGATTTTAGAAAATACAACGGCTATAGTTTCGGGACGTTTTGAAGTGTTAATACTAATGAAAACTGTTGCTCACAGAGTATGTAGTTAGTATATTTAAGGGGACGAAATATCTGTGTGCTCAAGAAATGATTTTTGTAATCGGACGTATTGCTTATAATGGGTGTGAGTGAAACAGAATACCCATACCCACCGTCACCCACATCTATACCCACACCCATCCTCAAGGTGAAGATATAAAATTCATTGATAGATTTATATATATATATATGAAAATATAATACACATTATTAGCTGAAAGATAAAGTGATAATTATTTGTTAGGTAAGCATGAAAATTATTCAAATCAGGGTCTCATTCAAGAAAGATGGAAGTCTTAAATCAAATTCTTTTAAAAAGATGACTATTCATTCAATACTATAATTTGAATTATATATATAATCACAATATTTTCTTTCATTATTAGTTATTTAATAAAAAAATGTGATATATAAAAGAATCAATTTCTTATAATTGAATTCATAATAATGTATTTGAAGATTGTTTAAATGTTTCAATAAACCAATCACAAAGAGGTTTATTATTTGTTTGTGCTCCAAATTTTGCATTAAGAAACCATTCAAGTTCAACATATGCATTTGAATCAGTTAAATGTGGTATAATCTACAATAGATACGAAATTAAAAATTCTAATAAAATTTTTAAATTATACTTTTGGTAGACTTTCATTATCATTAGCTGTTTGTTCTCCAGTCAAGAGATGAAATAATTCTTGTATCATAGAATTTATTTGATTCTAAAAAAAACAGTAATTATAAAAATGTATATAATAGAATTTACTTGATTTATTTGTTTTGGATCGTTTTCAGCAATTTGAGCAATTGGTAAATATCTTTAAAAAATATATATACAAAGATAAGTATCAAAATAATAAACATACTTTTTATGAAGATTAATTAAATGAGTTAATGGTACAGAAATGACATTGATTATATCACCTTGAGCATTTGTATAAAAACCATATATAGATGGTAATTTTTGATTTTGTTCATCTGTTGTATCCATTCGTATAGTATTTGATGAATACCATGCTAAACTAAATCTTGTATTTAATTGTTCATCTGTTAATTCTTTACTAAGCATATTTAGATTAATATTTGGACAATGTCGAAGATCATCAGAAGTTAATTCATTACTATAACTTTGTGTACTACGCATTGTACGTGCTGATGATACTGATGCACGATTAGGTAATTTATCTGTTGATGATGATATTGATTGTAAAATATTTTGATTATAAATTTCTGATGGATATATAGGTACACATTGAGTGAAATAATGTGATAGCGATTGTAATGTCTGTGTAACACCAGCAAGACGTGGAAAAACATGTAAAAAGAAAAGATTTGAACGACCAACAGAATCACAATCAAATGAAAGTAATTGACGATTATCAATACGTTTCGCAACAACATTTTGATAATCTTAAGAAATAAATAAAAAATGAATCGAAATTAAGAAAAATAAATGAAAGTTTTACTTAGAAGATGTAACCATGTTAGATCTTCTGATGCAATTGAATTTAGTCGATCAAGTTTTGAATCAAATGATTCTGGTAATGATTTTGCTTCGAAATGAGGTGCCAATGTAAGAATTTCTCGTTCTGCTTCAGCTATTTGTTTTTTTCGAAAATAAAGATAAAAGTAGTTTCAAAAGTAAAATAATTTAACTAACTTTTAAAAACACGTCGTCGTTCCGGAAATACAAAATAACCAATAATATCACCTGCTAAATATGTTGGCCAATGTGTTTCAATCGTATCAGTAAATTCTTCAGCTAATCCAGGTAATTGAACACTAAATAATAATAAAGATGAATTTAATTTAGAAAAAAAACAATCATTTCATATACCGTTGTTTTTGATTTATAGCCATTTGTGTTGCTGTACGTATCGCCATAGCTGCTGCTTGTTTTATTGGTTGTTGTTGTTGTTGACGCTGTGTATTACTATTAACAGCGGCTACACTTGATCGTGATTTCATTTGTCGTTGTTTTACTTGTTCAGTTGATCTAGTTAATGGTACTGATTTAATTGATAATTTTCTTGTATCATCTACTGGTACACGTGAATATTCCAGTAAAATAATAGCTAATTCAAAATAACATGTTTGAATAAATTGACTATCACTTGTACTTAAATAACAAAGACGTATCGCATTAATTAATTTTTGTACAATTGTTTTTAATGGAACCGTTGTTGTTGTTAATGTTGTACGTGTTTGTAAACGACCAATACGAGCTAAATGTAAAAGACATTCGTAATCAATATTAATATAACGTTCAACTATAATTCGATTAAGTGTTAAACATTGACGAAAAAGTGTTTGAGCATTTTCAAATAAATTATTCATTGTTGGATTTTCATTTGATGTACGATATGCATAATCAACTATAATAGTTCCTACGCGTAATTTAGCAAATACAAGTGGAAGTAATAAAGATGAATAAAGATTATTCAATGGTATTATTGGCATAGCAAACCAATCATGAGGATGATTTGAACTAGTCATTTGTATACGTTCATGCATTTGAACAAGCTAAAACAAAAAAAGAGATTATTCATAACTTATTCAATTCTATAATATACATACAAAATCAAGTATAGATGATTGTAATTTCTCATTTTCTTTTTCTTCAATTAATTTGATAACAGTTCCATTAAAATCTTGAACACATTGATGTTCCCAAAGAAGTATTTGTGTTAATACTTTCTTATGTAAAATATCAATTGATAAAATATTATTTTGTTTATTAACTAAAGCTGATTGAAATAATTGATAGGTTGTAGTTAATCGTTGAATATTTTCTTTAATATCAACTAAATCACTTAAATTATTCAATGATTTATAAAGTAAAAATGTCGCTTGCATTGATTCACATTGATATTTTTCCGATTCATTTAATCCATCATCAATATAAACAGTAATATTTGCTAACTCTTCACGTATAGAATCATCTGTACCTTTTACTTTTCCTAATGTATTTATTTGTTGTAACATTATATAACAAAGATAAGCACGTTGTTTTAACCATGTATAAACATTTAAATTATACGAATAACGATTATTAAAAAGAATATTTAATGCATTTAATACTTTATGTGGATAACGAGTTATTGTACTTGAACGAGGATACGATGATTTACGTTTTGCAGTTCTATTTGAATTAAAAAAATTATTTAGATTATTTTTTATTTGAAAAAATTTACCCATTCGCTATTTTCTTTTCCGAAGTATTATCTTCACCAACTGTCGATAAAACTTTTAATGTTTCAAGTATATATCTTGCTGCTAACTGATCTAAATGACATTGATGTGCACATTCAGATAATAATGTTAAACAATCGATAAGAAGTTGATATTCATAAGATTGTAAATTTGATGGATGATCACGTGATAATTCATCGGTTTGTTGTAATATATTTAAACATTTTTCTGCAAATAATTTTCCTGTACCAACAAGATAAGATTTAATATGTACAAATGAATGTGTTGTTTCATCTTGAAATATAATTAATTTTCCTTTTCCTGTTGTATCAGTAGTATTATAATTGTGTCGATGACGTGTCTGTGTTGTTAGAATTCGTTTTAATTCACTATCTCTAGAAATGCATATATATAAATTTAGTTGAAATAGAAAAAAACAATGATAAAATTTACTGAAATAGATCAAGATCAGCAATAACTGGTATTCGTTCACCAAGACGGATAAAAAATAATGATAATAGATAATGAAATTCAATAGATAAATGATTTCCATAGAGTTGAGATATTGTCTTGGAAAGTTTTGAAGTTAAAAGACCATCCAATGCCTATTCGATATATATATATATATTATCTTACACCGTCAAAATACTGAACTTACTTCTATATTATGATTTGATATAATACTTTTTGAATTATCGAAATATTTTGGCTAAAAATAAAAATATAATTTAGATTAAACAATTATAAAAAAAACTTCTACTTTATATTTTGATGAATTCATATCAGCAATACTTAATCGATATTGTCCAGGTAATTGTGTGCCAGGTAATTTTTGTCCATCGATAAGTATATTAATAATTTGATGTGCTTCATGAAATAGATTAAGTTGAATAAGAGCACGTAAACGTAAAAGTCGTGCTTGTACTGTATGTTGAATATTTCGACAATGTAAAGCAAAAACATCATAAAGTGATACAATCGGAAGTACCTAAACAGAAATTAAAAATTTTCTTAGATTTATTTTTTTTTTAATAATTACATGAAGACAAATATCATGATGAATAAGAGATTCTGATATATAAGCTAATGTATCCATGAGAGCTGAAGGATTCAAACGAAATTCATCACTTGTTAATTGAACACCAGGCCATACATGAATTGAATTATCAATAAATAATGTTGCATAATCAATATCATGTTCAGAATGTGGTAAAGTATAATAAAATATTGAACGTAAAAAATATGAACTTAATAAACATGTTTGAAGATGTTGATCACAATTGATATGCATATAATACTTAGCTAATTTACATGTAACAATAGCACATAATAAACTTCCCCATATACCACATTTTTGTATTAATTGTGTTCGATTTGAAAGTAAATTTTTCAATGCATCTTTTTTAAACCATGTTGTTACAATATCTTGACTATCAAGAATCGTATCAAGTACATTACACCAAGCAACTTTAGATTCCCTAATAAAATAATATATACATTTATTTCTCTTTTTCGCAAAAAAAAGAATAATCTAAATCGCTTACATTATTTTGTCACAATGAAGATATAAATCACCTAATTCACTTTGTACTTGACAATATTGATCACGAAGATTTTGACCCAATAATAATTCTATAAATAGGATCTTTTTTGTAAGAAATTTTATTAAGGAATAAATCATAGCTTACTTGATAATGTTTGATATGCATCAATAACTGATTCTTTAGTAATTTTTGTTGATGGTGATGTATCATTTTTATTATTAACTAATGGTGAAAATTCTAATGGTTCACCAGGTGTTAATGGTCGATAATGAAATGTTGATACAGTTTGATCTGTTTTTCCTGATCCATGTCGTCCAATATTATCAATAATTGGTGTAAATATAAGAAAATCTTTTGCTAATTGTTGTTGTTGTTTATAGATATAAAATGCTAACATTTTTCGACATTCAATTATTGATCGAGATGAAAAATAAGTTTTATCTAAACCTTGTCGTAAAAGTTTACGACTAAATTCAACATCCAATGGTATACTAATTAATTCCAATGCATGATTTGTTTCTTTTTATGAAAATAAAAATAAAAAAGCAGTATAATGAAATAAATAAATAAATATGAAAACATACGAGCATAGAAATCAAATCCTTTTGGATCAAGTCGATCACCAAGACTTAAATTTGCTGTTGAATTTTCATACATACTATCAGATATTTGATAAAGTTTTTCTGGTCTAAGTGTATAAAAATCATCGGGATGTATAGGTCGACCAAGTGCAGCAATAGCAGCATCAAAATGTGGTTGATCTATTGTATTTTGTCGATCACGTAATTGTTGTAATAAAGCTGTTTGAGCTGAAATTAATAATGGACTAACTATATCAGCAAAATAATGACTAAAACAAAAAAATAAATAATATTCATTTTTTTTAAAAATCATTCAATATACTCAGATAACGCATTGAATTTCATTGCTATTGTTCCTAATTTTTCCCATTTAGCAGCAACATATAATGCGTGTAGTGAGCGTAAAATAAATAATTTTATAAATCTTAAATCAATTAATACAGTACGATCTTGTGGTTGTTCAAAATTAAATGTTGTACCAGTCCATGAACATTCAATATTTGTAAACCATTGATTTAATTTATTTGTATTTGTATTTGATAATTTTTCATTATTATTATCATAGAATGGTTTCGTACGATAGAGCATATCAAGTAATAATTCACTTGCTATAAACATTGTTTGATAACTATGTGAAAGTAAAGCATTGATTGAAAATATTTTATTTAATGTTGTTGTTGATAAATATTGTATAAGTTGTTCAATCGAATCATAGAATGATTTCGAAACATTCTGTAATAATGTCCAATTATTTGAACGATGTGCAAGAACAATTGATCGACGATAATGTACAAGAAAACGATCGATATATAAACGAATATGTTTAAAACCAAATGGATCATTTGTATTCGAATCAGGTTGTTGATGATCATGTGTTTCATGACGTGGAGAACTTGGATGATAGATATTTTTTGGTGGAGGCATAGAATTCGTGTTTGCTGCTTTTCGATCACGTACTGAATTTGAACCATCACCTTTTTGATTTAAATAAATACTTGGATCTGATATTTGTCCTACAAAAATAAAAGAAAAACTTTATCTATAGAGTCTCATAAATTTTCATACCAGTAACTAATTCATTGATAATTTCTAAACGATCTTTAACATCTGATTGTGTAAAATTAAATTCAAATTTTTGTTCTAATGTTAAATCATCAAGTATTTCATCATCAGTTATATTTCGAATAATAAGATTAGTTTGATCATAAGTAAATAAATTTGGATTAATACGATCAAATCTATAACGTCCATCTTCTAATACAGCTTGTAATTTATCATTTGTTTCTTTGATTACACATGGTATTCTATCTAAACAATAGAGTCCATTAAGTAATTCATATTGTGAACGCCATACTAATTCATCATTAATAAATCGACGAAATTTTTTTCGCGCTTGACT